AGAATTTTCCCACAATGATATGAGTTGAGCTGACGTTTCCATTGAATTTCACATAACCTTGCTTTCCCCAAAGTTGTTCTCATCCTTAAACGAAATTGGATGAATACACCTCATATTGAGAATTTACTTTATTTTTCGAATTAAGTATTGTTTTCGTGGCTACCAGTAAATCAGTAATATGAAATGTATTAACCCAATTTCGTTTAAGGTGACGAAGGACTGGTAGAAGAAGAATTTTCCCACAATGCTATAAATTGAGCTGACGCTTACATTGAATTTCACATAGCCTTGCTTTCCCAAACGTTGTTCTCATCCCGGCTGGAGTGGACTGCAGTTTTGGTCTTATCAACACACTCAGCGGGAGTCGAACCGCGACAGTGCAGGATGAGAGCTTGACACGCTAAACACTCAGCGACACTACCAGGAGAGCCTTTTGGGTCACAGGGCAAATGCGAATTTTCAAGGAGGGCCAGGCCTTTTTGGCATATTATTTTATTTTGGTGAAAATGTCGATGAAGTAAACATATATGTTTTATAACAATCGACTACTATATTTTATGTTTCGAATTAAGTATCGTTTTCGTGACTACCATTAAATCAGTAGTATGAAATGTATTCACCCAATTTCGTTTAAGGATGAGAACAACTTTTGGGGAAGCAAGGCTATGTGAAATTCAATGAAAACGTCAGCTCAACTCATATCATTGTATGAAATTTCTTCTACCAGTCCTTTATGATGAAGGACTTAAACGAAATTGGGTAGATACATCTCATATTACTGACTTACTACTAGTCACGAAAACAATACTCAATTCGAAAAATAAAACTTAAATGCACTTGCAAATAAGTTACAAAAATATATGAGAGCAGCACTAATAAAATGGTATTGCTAGGATGTTACTCGAGAGGACAATGTGGATATTTTTCGTTTTTAGTATTTTTACGCGACTACTTGTAAATTGTATATAAAAATTATTTTCACTCTGTCGTGAAAACACTGCTGACGCTTCCCTGTCATGATTCGACTCTCTCTAGGGTTGCTGATAGGACTTAAGCGAGGTCTAAACTGCAGCCGACCCTGGATGAGAATAACTTTCGGCAAAACAAGGTTATGTGAACTTTAAGGGAAGCGTCATGTATACAGATAGCATTTTGGGAAAATTCAACAATCTCTTCTTCACCAGCTTAAATAAAATCGGCCGCAAACAGTTCATATAATGTTGGTATTAGTTGGAAAACTTTTACATTTAATGAATCGCTTTGTGCGAGGTTAAACTGATTGTACAAATCATTACAATGGCACGTGATATCATAATCGGTTGTATTGTTGGTTTCGCCTTACCTTTTGTGTCGTAGAGGCACTTGGGTTCCTCGTCAAGGCTGTGAGAAATCGCACCATAATTGTGCTTCGCGTTGACACCAGTACTCGATATTTCTCGATACCTTTCTTCTTGCCTTCCGCGCTTGTCCGTCCGCCAGTTTGACTGGTCTGAACTTTGGTATTCCGGCTCCACGGCCAGTCTGTGCCAACGGCGTGGCGGAGAACTGCTGTCGAGTCGGCCGGAGGCACCAGTACTGCTCTCGTCGTCACCACGGGAACTGCTGTCACCAATGCTGTGAGCTCTGGCCAGCTTCAGATAATTGAGAAGCAACAAGGTCAATCGGCGTCTACGCCGAGTCCTGCTCGGTCTGGCCGGTTCTCCGCTGGCGTCAATGGCAGATTGGCTGTCGGCCACAAGATTCGCGATAGTACTTGTCTCTTTTGACGTTGTTACGATGCATTTTGTAGTCGCTTTGGTTTGCTCAACCGCTTTGCTCGAAATAATCGACTTTCCTGGAGCCTCAAATGCTACCATCGCTTCGGTTGTCACCTTTTCCAACTCATTCGCCCACTCGGCTGGCTGGGTTGCATGACCGTAATCGTCGGCCTCATGAACATTGCGATCATCCGCATGACTAGCACTGCCAGTTTGTGCTCCTCGGTCAATGGAGGCCATTGAGGCGGCCAGTCGGCGTGCTCTGAAGCCTTTCAAGCCGAATGATGATATTGCCGCCGCGCTCAACATGAGTGGACGAGATTTTTCGCACAATATTGTCGTTCTATCCGCTGCCGATGCAATCTCGCCCAGTCCATGTTCTGGGCATTTTGCGCCAACTCGCGTCAACTTGGCCAGTCCGGATTTCGCTTCCTCAGCCTCTGGCCATCCACTTTCTTCATACGCCTCTTTGTCACATTCCTGGTGCCCAATGTCACCCATTTCATCTTCACTCATTTTCCCGCCCTTTGTTTGTGTCTGTTCTTTGGGCGCCGCTTGTCGCCGGCAACCCTCGCCAGGGGAACTCAAGTCGCCCGGTTCTTCACGCGACAGCGACCATGTCAGCGTGTCGCGCAACAGCCGTTGGCGTCGTAACCACCAACCCCCCCCGTCTGCCGTCAGGGCTGTATGTCGACAAGGCGTCGAGGGCTGGCTCGACTCCCGCTCAAGATGTGGCGCCAGACCCGAAAAAGGGCTACGGACTGTTCTCACTGATTCTGGAGTTTGAGCCTGTCGACCTGCGGACCGAGCAGGCGTAGGGCTACAGTCGGATTTGGCCTCGTGTCCAAGAGCACGAAAGCTGCGCCAGCGAGATGGCTGAGGATTGCAACAAGAGAATATAAAGAAATAAATAATTATTTTGAATGCCAATTTAACATACAACTCCCATGTGTGTGATTAGAGTTTTATCTAAAGTTTTATGCTAGCATCTTAAATGTACAAAAGCATTTGAAAAATATCCCACTTTTGCTTGCCTGTATCGTTTTTTGTCATAAAATCGGGCTTGAATAAACCTATTTCTATGTGTTTATGCCGGCTAAGGGTGCTCGCTAAAAGAATACTTGGGTTAGAAGGCTAGCATTCCCATGTCAATTGGGCAAACCCATACGTCTCGTTTATTCTGTAATCTATCACAATAGTGCAACAATTACGCAAAAGCAGTTACGGCTCAACACAAAAAATAGGGCGTAAAAGCCAGATTAGGAAAAAGTAAGCTTGGGAAATAAAATTATATCCTCTAAATGTTATAGGATGAAGCAAATTTTGAATGACCAGATGCTAAAGATAAAAGTATAAAGGATATTGCGATGATTTATGATTACATGATTGCTAGCGCAAATCACTGGATGTTGAGATTATGAGAGAAGAAGGGCTAATGGGCAAGTGAAATTTCATTTACACTTGCTAATAAGAGGAAAATCTTAGTATCCTTTCGGCATTCTTCCAGCGTAATGCTTAAAAAAGGCCTTTCGTTAACTTTAACACATTAAGACCCCACACTAAATAAGTCTGGAAGCTCACTGTAAATATAAGCCTCTTAGTAGTTATCTTATCTACAATTGAGGGGATCTTATTGTAGTATGACTTCTACCATATGATGTGCAGGCCCAATGTTTATTGCATATATGATGCATTGGAAAAAAAATTTGTATTCGGCATTCTCCTGTACCGTTACCAGCAACTCTATATTTTAGTCTCTCTCAAGGTGATCAGCAGCTATGACTACTTAAATTTAACCAACAACTCTGAAGGTATTCAAGCTTAAGAGAGATGATGGAAACACCATGCTAACCCAACTCTTATCATCCTCAATAGAAAAAGCTAATCTGAGCTAGAAATTCGGGATTACAGGAAGCCAAAGAAATAACGTTATAGCACATATTAATCGAATCATAATGATGAAGAAATAACCTAAATATATTTTGATTCAATTTTTTGCAGATGAATTTATTGCCTAAATACATTGGGGTTTGAAAATTACACAGTATACACAAAGGGACCCCTCAACTTAAACTATGCAAGTATGCAAATGCTAGCCATGTAGGACCAATGTAACGTAAAATTTATTTTATCAATTAATTCAATTCATTTATGATAAAAATAATTGATATAGATCCAGCAATCGGCGTTTATATGGATGGTAAACATTGCCCACAACCACTGAAGAAGACAGGATTAATGGCTGAATATTTTAATACTTATTTAGGCTCAAACTTGGGGCTGAAATTTGCCAGTGATCGACTGCTGGTCTTCTATTTATTATTAGGTATTGCACAAAATACAGAGCTCAATATAGATTGAACAGGAATGGGGTGATCTAAGACCTGATTAGCTAAAAATGTCCAGTTTTATCCATTGATTAATTCATCTGGTATCCATAACAGTTATGGGATTTTGATTAGAAAACAGATGCCATTCATAAATCTAATTGTCTCTGACTCAAATACAAGAGAACTTATGCCAAAAGTGAAGTGAAAATGTAAGTACCAGACCAAGCAAATTCAACTATTACAGGTTAAGCAGACAATTAGTGAAAGGATTGGCTTCACTTGTCTGTTTGATGAGTAGAAGTGTGGTGCTAAGAATGGCAAGGCTTATTGATGATGCAGACTATGATACCGGCGAAATGGCTGAGAATGAACCAAATCCATGATCCAATTCTGGACATTAACATGGGTACTATGAACTCCGGACAAGGTTTGTTTGTTCCTCCAGGTCTTCCTGATGATACAACCAAGATGCGAAAACAAGGTCAAAGAACTTCTAAGCAACGAAAGGAGACCGGGAATACACAAAAGGCAACATCCTCTTAGTCTTCATAGGTTCGAATAAGCATTACTGTTTAATCATATATATTAGGTTAGATTAATGGATAAGGCAAAATATTTTTGGTTTTACTTCCCAATTCATAGAAATGGAGAAGTGGAAAATGAATTTACTACTCCAGAGAGATGCAAGGGCCCCCAAGGCTTATGGTCTCACTACGATTCACAAGAAGAGTGTATCTCTCAGATTAATTGGAAATAATAAAGGAAGCGTGATGCATAAAATCTTACGGTTTTTATGCTACAATTAAGGAACTCTGCCAATTATTGTCTATATTCAATTAAAAATTCGTATGATTCAATCACATTGCTAGATCAGCAGACAATTTCAGAAGAGGATAGGCTAGTAAGCTTTCATGTTGTGTCCATGTACGCAAACATTCTTGTGCAAGGACCTATTTAAGCTCCGATACAAACTCTGGAGGAGCATCCAGAGATAACACAAGGAATAAGGCTGAGTGTAGCTTCCATTATTAGACTCATCAACCTATACATGAGTACCACATATTTTGCCTTTTATGGTAAGTTATACGAACAAACACAAGGATTAGCGATGGTATCTTGCATGTCTCTTATCTTAGCGAACAATTATATGGCAAGATTTGAAGAACACTTCCTGCAAGAGGTAATAGATACATGGATGACTATTTTGTCATCTAACTTCATGGTTAGGAAAGTTTAGATAGTTTCCTACTTTAACTCATCCAGCGTGAAAAGAACATTAAGTTCACGATGGAAATGGAAGAGAATAAGTCCTTACCTTTGCTGGTTGTTCTCCTCATTAGAGAAGAGGGTAGGTTAGGAAGAGATGTTTCTAGAAAGCCAAGATATGTTGGCTCTTTGCTAAATTTTCTTTCCAACCATAGTTACAAGGCTAAGATTGGAATTTTTAAGTCAATGATTCTTAAAAGTATGAGGCTAGCGGATAGCAAACATTTGACTAAAGAGTTGCAACGGCTGACAAATATATTCCTGGAAAGTAATTATCCTTTTGGCCTTATTGAGAATAAGATCTCTTAATGGAGGAATAAATTTTTAGACAGAGACCATTTAGTCAAAGAAAAACAGACTGAGACCTTTTCCCATGTCATAATTTTGCCGTCAAGTTTTCTCTCAAAAAAGATACGCGAATTATTGAAGAAGTCGCGCATAAAAACAGTGGTTAAATAAACCCTAACACTTTCTTCTGTC